GGGGGGGGGGGGGGGGGGGAGCGGGACTTGAACGGATACTCCTCAGGGAAGCTGATGCGCAGCTTGAAAGCCTTGAGGTGGTAGGGAGGTTGGCTTGGCAGGAGGGGTCTATGCCACACCAGGATGTCGACATCGTCGCTGAACAGGTTCCGCAGGTACGGGGAAGGCTTCTTCTGAAGATCCTCCAGCTCTTGCGCAGCTCGCTTGCTTGCGGTCATCAGTCATCTCGGGCCGAGTTGGGGGCATCGGCCGGCTCCAGCAGGACCTTGTCCCAGCGGACATCGTGCACCCCGTCCCGGGGACCCACCTCCGGGAGCCCCGCCCACGCTCCACTCCACCCGCGAAGACGCGAAGCTGTGTAGACCTGCCCTCCACTCGCTCAGCTGCTACTAGCAGGCCGCCGAGGGCAGGACCCGCTGGGCCCCGGCCCGGTCCCCGGTGCGGTGGGCTGGGATCCTGGGGACCTCTGATCTTTCGAAGGTATATTCTTGTATGGTACGTAAATCAGGAATCGATGTCTAGGAGGACATTGTTTCCTCCTACAGTTTCAGAACGAAACAGTACTGGGCTGCGATGACCCTGACTAGGTCGTACTACTTTTATTATGCTCTTAAATGGGGGGTGGGATGGGGGGGTGGGGCGTAAGTGATATCAATTCTGTAAGTACAGGTACTTGTTAACGTAATCATTCTGTTCGTTATAAAACTATGATACAGTGTTAAAATAGTCAAAGTTTCCTTTGTCTATGAGATACAGTTGATGTGCTGTTCTGAGCTTATTCGTGAAATGACCTTTCTTCACACTGTGGAAACAAACTAATATATGCTGCTTCTTTTAAAAGGAAACTCTAAAATAAGAAATATGAATCTCCCTTCAAAAAAGGGAATCAGCTTTTAATTAAAAGGAAACTATGCAGTAAATCATTTGAACGTTAAAATTATTTAGGCACTAAATAAACTTTATCAGTGCTATTATTTATCTGTACTAATATGCAGTGATTCTCTAGCCAGGGGACCTTCTGGTACACATTTGGAAATTTATTATGTTTGGGGACATTTTTGGTTGTCACAATGACGGGGGTATGCCACATTCATTTTGTGGATGAGGTCCAGACATTATAAATATTATAGTCTATTATATAGTAAATATTATAGTATACGGTATAGGCAGAAATTATAGTATATTGTAATATGCTTCATTGTGTTATATATCATACAAAATAGAAGAAAATA